GCACTGCGGCATCGTGAGACGTGAGTACGTTGGCCGTGTTTGGAGCATACTAAACAAAATAAGAGCTCACTTCTCAAGTGAGCTCTTATTTGTCGAGACGATTTTCTTGCGCCAACCCGATATCTAGTTGTTATTGTTGATCGAAGTGCGTCATTGTAACTAACATGGACAACTACAAAGATAGAATATCTTATCTTCTTATCTGATTGATATTTTCGTAAACTATGCATGAGTGAGTAATAAAAAAGAAAACTGAAATCAATGAATATGTAGTTACATTTTGTGTGAAAATTTCATGGTGCATCACCATGAAAATTCAGGAACCAGGGCTCGATAGAGCCCTGATAAACTTAGCTTAAAGGAACAAGTTATTTCGAGCGATCGTACAAAAGTTATTCAACAAGAAAATTCTTATGATTAGAAAATCGATATAAGTAGGTAGAATTATTAGATGTGCACATTGTTTGCCTTGATTTAAAAAAAATCTTTACTCGAAGGCACGCTGCCAGTGTTATTGTTAAGTCACACATAGATACGATTTATTATTCGAGGGTCGTGATTTTGATATGGGGCACTATTAAATGTCTTATCATGTCTTTAAATAAATCATTTTTGCATATCATTGTCACCTTGCTAACATAGAAGATACGACTAATTACATAAATATAGGTTTCCTTTATAATCATTATGACGTTTAAATGTATAATGAAGTATATTAGGTTATATAGTACCTATTTTTTTTTTTAAGGGAGGAATATCATCGAATGACTGCTCCCGCCTGGGTGAGGCGGGAGGGAGTGTCAGAGTCTTACTGACTAAAAACCACCCCGTTCCTTCTCCTGCACGTCGAGCCGGAGCCCCGGTTACCCGTTAGGTTCTCCGCGACATATAGTACTTATACCTACCTATAACATGTAGGTAGCTTGTATTAGGTTTATAAAATAAATAAATGTTTCAACTTCTAACTGGTAAAAATGTTTAACATGTGGTTATAAATAACATACTAATTGACTAAATATTTCAATTGACTAAGCCATTAGCGTCAGTAGTTCTTTGTAGACAGATGAAGGGATGAAGTGAAGCTAAGTCTTGTTTAGCAAATAGGTACTAAGTCTCATTCATTCAGTAATGTTAATAGCAGACGAGACGATACGATAACACTGCGTATTTTTGTTTCGGATGTGTGTGGTTAGATAGCTGCAATCGCTTCGAGTTTATTCGCTCTAAAGGAGTTTCTACTTTCAATTAGTGTAAAAGAATTAAGAAGTGAATAAAATTCGGCGAGTTGATTGTTGTCATCTGTAAGCAGTAGCATTATTGAGCAATAATAAAACAAGTTCAATCATGTTTAACTATTACTGGCATAAAACTGTAATCGTCATGTCATGATCATTATTACTCCAAGGTCACGCAACTTGTTTATTATTGCTGCGTCACTGAAGAAGTAAGGGTACCTAGGTATATTTTTATTTTTGTCTGAATCCCACTATTGACTATGTATGAGTCATGTGTTAAGTATTGATGTAGTATGAAACGACAGTTTTCAGTTAGTGGATTCCATGGTTACGTCATTGTACAAATACATATGAGTAGGTATCTTTTTTTACATGTGTTATCATCTTAGGTGAGGAAAATGGTACATTATTGTGAACCTATGTTATATTTTATGCATTGTAAGCTTGGCTACACAAGTGTTCAGATTCGATGCCTGGATCGAAAAAAATGTTATTTGACTATGTAGGTTTTTTATGATCTCATTAATAGCATGGCGTCGAGATATACGCCTTGATTACCGTAATCCGTAATAGACATATACGTAACTGAAGGTTTTAACACAATATTTTCTGATTCTATTAATGCTACTAAAAATATATATCAACTGAACCCAAATATTATAAAATTGCAGTACTTACCTACCTAATAGTAACACTTTTTTGGTTATTAATAGAATATTCATGAGATGGTTTTAACATCTAGATTTACAGCAATATTACTTTTTAACATAAATAATGAAGAAGTAAAATTGTAGTAAATATTATTTAACTACAATTAATAATATTTACATATTCATACACACTATTTCTTTTTTACACAATTTTAATAATGTTCATAAGATTACAAGATTGAATTTGTTTAAAAAATATTTATTTATAAAAGATAAATATGAAGATCAAGAAATAGAGGAAGTACCTATTAAATAAAATAAACTCACTTTGAGGATCTGCTAGTTCTTTCTCCTGCAGTTTAGGCAACAGATTGTGGGCAATGAGGCTGACTGTGGCACGCTGGTTCTCATCATCAAACTTCACAATTATGTACTCCACCTAAAATATTCAATCTTTTTGTTAGGTTGCAAGGCTTACTCATGTCACTGTTGAGGAGTTAATGAGATTCTTGGCTAGTTTCAAACCATAGCTACAATATAAAAATACAATCTTTAATACCTAATGAGTTATAATAAATGTTGCTGTATAAAGCAGCAATTTGAAAGTACGTTAACCTGTATATTTATTTATCTATTTTCAAAATTCATTCCACTAAGATTGCTTTATTACATAAATCTGATTGACACACCCAGACTCATTCAGGTTTTCCACTTCCATGTTACTATCCAAGTATCCAGTCTATCTCTTTATATTACACCATGGTTATGAGTATTATGCAACATAAATAATTTTCTGGTACTACATTTTTCACAGTCATTTCAGTATTATCATTTGCCATGACATCAAACTGTCTAAATTTATTGTAAGATATGTTTTTATTGTAAGATATTATTGTATTTTATTGCAAGATATATTTCATTATAAATAAGTCATAGATAAATTGGTAGTATAGAAACTTATGTGGTTTAGTATTGGATTCAATGAAGCTAAGTGTCCACATGGAAATTATGAGTTGAACAGTTTCAAGAAATCAAAAGTTAATGTAAACAAACCTCATCTCCCCATTTGAGCACGTCGCCCGTGCGCTCCTGCAGCTTCACGTACAGGTTAATAAATTGTTCGATGCCGTGCTGACGGACATGCTCTGCCAAAGCCTTAGTCTCTTCCCAAGACAATGGACTTCCTTCACTTAGCAAACCCATTTTTGCTATTTGAGTGTAATAAAAATTCACACGTGATCTTCCCAAGTTTCTACTTATGTATTTGCGACAGTAAACCGCGGTCGCTTTAAAAATAAAGTTCATGAAATATTAATCGAACATGAGTAACTATCACCAGCTCATTACAACTGCAACGTAAAATTTTATTTTACGATGGGTTGAAGAGAATATAAAAAATACATCACAACAAAACTTTTACTCAAGCCGCAACATTTACAGAACTTTTGCTTTACATAAAAAACGTAATACGTACAAATGAAAATATACGAGGAACACTGAATTTAAGACAAATAACTTTTTTTAATTATCAGGACCACGAGATCGAGACAACCGTCTGCTTTATATGTTCATAGTAAACAGAGTCAAGAACTAGACAGAAATGAAGTTATATCAACGTACAAGGCTATTCTGTAATCACCATTAATTCAGGATTTTTTTATCAATGGAACATCTAATAAATGTCCATTACATCTTGGTAGGTGGCAGAATACGAAACCAAATTTAAATGTACTGAATTTGACGTATTATTGACATTTGTTAATGTATGCAGCGCCACCATGAACTGCCAAGTTATACTGGACGATTTGCATATACATTGAACGACAATGTTTTCTGTCAAACCGCAAAAACAACGTTCCATATTACGTTAGTGTACAATAAAAGTATGATAATGGGACTACTGTTTTCAAATTGTATAATTTGATACAATTAAAATACTGTATATAAGCATATTTGGTACTACTATTGACATTTGTTAGTGTCTTAATCTTAGGCATATTAAGAACAAGAAACCGACAAACCGATATAAGTAGAAGGAAAATCGGGAAAAACTCTTCCTTCCTCTTTTGCTGAAATCATGGTAACAGACAATCTTCGTCTGTAATGTCTATGGTTTATTCATTAAATCATTCATATTCATAATTCAATCATTCATCATTCATTCATTCAGCGATTTGTGATTTGGTTTGGTTGGTGATAGTGACAGTACATAACTAATGGATGATATTATTGAGTTTAATAGTTTTTTCGATGTAGAAACTGCATATTTTGTCAATTACAACCTAAAAATATGTGTTCATTCGTAGCTACAGTTTATAAGTGTAATTAATAATATAGACTTGGTTAGTCCAGTACGTCAACTAATAGTTTCAAAATATCACCATGGTGCCTGTGGCAATAGAAGGATGCACCCAGGGTGCTGAAGGTGGAGGAGCCAGGGGTGGCTCTATCTCCTTGGCTTTACTTATAGATTTTATTGTACAGCGCACATATGATGAACTCACTGTGTTGGCTGAATTGTAAGTACATTACATACATTTAGTAAATATGAGTATTTTTTTGTTTTTATTGATATTAATGTTTCACATCTATTGCAGGTTGCCTCGTAAAACGGATATGGAGCGCAAAATTGAGATATATAAATTCAGTGCACGAACAAGACAATTATTTGTTCGTCTGTTGGCCCTGGTGAAGTGGGCTAGTAGTGCCACAAAAGTGGATCGCTCAGCACATATCATGGCATTTCTTGATAAGCAAGCGTTACTGTTTGTTGAAACAGCTGATGTTTTGGCTAGAGTGGCCCGGGAGACACTAGTACATGCAAGGTCTGTGTACTATATATATAATAACCTAGTTACTTTAATATTTGTAAAAATAATATGATTATCTATTGTCATATCTACACTCCATTAGAGATTGGAAGTTTGATAATAAGCTTATTTCCACCACCATATTTAAAATCATAAAATAAACAACTTACAGGAAATAAATAAAAATAAAACAAATATTATACTGACTTATCTACATTTCATCACCATAAAATCATGCCTTTTATGCCCGAAGGGGTAGGCAGAAGTGCACATTACGTCACTTAATGCCACTGTACAATGTAACACCCAATTTTCACTATTTATGTTATGAGTCCCATGTAATAGGGGGTGAGCCCATTGCCACATAGGCATATACTGGGCTCAATTCTAGCCTCCATGCTACTACTGAGAATTTTAAAAAAAAAGCCCAGTAGTACTTTACCTGACTCGGGAATCGAACCTTAGACCCCTTGCCTGGCAGTCGCACTTGCAACCACTCAGCTAAAGAGGCAGTCACATTTACATCTGTGCAAATATATCACATAAGAGATTGTTCCTTACCTGTGTATAGGTTACCGACCTTCCACATGGCAGCGGCAGTGGAAGTGCTGACACTGGGTACATACAGTAGACTGCCAGCAGTCATAAGGGAGCGGCTAGTCCCCCCTCCATCACTCACACCGGGTGAACGTCGTACAACATTGCGTGCACTGGCCCATGTTGTACGCCAACGCCTCACAACTGCTTCTTTGCCCAGTGATATAAGAAACTTGAAGGTGTGTATCAGGCCAACATCAAAATGTTTTATGATAACATTCTTTCAGCTGTCTAGACATACTGTATGTTAACTAGGCCTATTTTAATGTGATACTCATAATGTAATCATAATTGTTTTACTTTTGTATACAATTGGTTTAATATTCTATTTAAGATGGAAATCATATCTTGTACTGTTATATAAAGCTGATGAGTTTGTTTGCATGCGTTAATCTTTCGAACTACTACTGGTTCGATTTAAAAAAATATTTTGGTGTTGGATTATCAATTTATCGGGGAAGGCATCAATCATCACGTCAAGACCAATATGGAACAAAGATATGACAGTTCTACATGTTGTTTGATAGATATAATAACCTCAAGAAAAATTTTGCCAAGCTATTGGTTTTTTTTTATGGCATAAGCCGGTAAACGAGCAGATGGATCACCTGATGGTAAGCAATCGGCGTCGCCCATGGACACCAGAGTTACAAATGCGTTACCGGCCTTTTGGGGATTAGGAGTTGGAGGATCGTTGGGGATTCAGGAATTGGGGAGATTGAGGAAGGGGAGGGTAATTGGGCCTCCGGTAACCTCACTCACAAGACGAAATACAACGCAAGAGTTGCTTCACGTCGGTTTTCTGTGAGGCCGTGGTATTATTACTCCCTCACAGAAAACCGACGTGAAGCCATGTAACTTGTCCTTTATAGTCGAAACAAATTAGATTGTTGAATGAATTCATATTGTGACAAAAATACACTTATTGTAGGTAGAGAATGGGCGTGCAACATTCACAGTTGGTCAAGAATTTAGTGTTTCTCTGACCGTCATGGGAGATGCTCCAAACTTGCCTTGGCGATTATTGGACATTGCTATACTGATACAAGACAGTGAAACTGGAGGTAAGATTGTAAATGTGCTTGTAGTAAAACTGTTTGGTTTATATGTTGATACTCCCTCACTACAATAATAATTAAAACAATTCGCTTTAACTAATCAGTGTCATTGTTTACCTAGAGGGAAAGCCTCTCGTACATAGTTCTCAACTGGCTTGGCTACGCGGAGTAGCACAGGCGCGCCTAGCGGCAGCTGGACTGAGCGGCGCACTCACTGCCCTCCGATACTTCTGCCGCTCGCTGTCTCTAGAGCTCCTGTACACACAAACATTGCGACTGTGTCGAGATCGTCTCTCTCGACACTTACAAGTAGACAGATATACCCCTGGACAGAAACTGCAGGTTTCATACTGGAGGTAAGTTTGCCAAGATTTTAACAAACCTTTTTTTCGCCACATTGTTTTTGTAAGTATGTCCACTATGGACGCCGGACAGCCGTAGCATGTGCACGGCCACTTACAAGTACGAACGTGTGTGCAGGGAGCTAGGCTGCGAGCTGGGCTACCGGCTGATCGTCGGCGCGGAGGGCTCGCAGCTGTGCGTGTGGCACGTGCCGGCGCTGGCGGGCGGCGAGCGCGTGGCGGGCGCGCTCAGCCCGCACGCGCCCTCCATGGAGCGTCTACTGGCGCACACCGTGCACGTGCGCTCGCGCCAGCGCCTCAACGACCTGCGCGTGCTGCTGCAGGAGCTGGGCGTGGAGTGCAGCGTGGGCGGCTGGCCGTGCGTGCTGGCGTGCTCGGTGGTGGCGCCGTGCCTGCGCGCCGAGCAGCTGCTGGTGTGCGTGGGCGCGCACGGGGGCCGGCTGCGCGCGCGCGTGCCCGCCTACCCCGCCACGCCGCGCATGCCCGACCTGGCCGCCGCGCTCGCCAACACCAACGTGCCGCTCATCAAGACCCTGCTCACACAGCTTCGGTATACTAATACTTATTACTAATTAAATATATTCCTAAAATGTATGTGTATACAAAACTATCAAATTATTGCAGCGAATTCGACGATATTTTTTCATTATTTCATAAAGAAAAAAGCTTATAATATGCAATAAATATCTGTCAAATTATTTGGGAACTTCAGAAAGCACCTATATGAAAACTGGGCAGCAAACTAATGATACGCGCATGGTACAGGTTCTGGCTGGTGGCGCGGCGCTGCGAGAAGACGCTGCAGCACCTGCCGGCCAGTGTCTGCGAGCACCTGCCCTTCCTGCACGGGCCCGAGCACCCGCTCACCAAGCTCTCGCCCGACCGACTCTACGTCACGCTGCACCGACACACGGACCATATTTTGGTAAATATATGAAGTGCTCTAAAAACGTATAGGTTTACTATCTCGATGTTCGTTTGTATATGTGATCGTGGCGTGCAGATAGTGGAGATGAAGGAGGTGGCGGCGGGCAGCTCGGCCACGACCAGCAACAGCGGGAACAGCGGCAGCGCGTGCTCCGTGGCGCTGTCCTTCCATCTCGCCGGGGCCAAGCGCTGCACGCCAGACGAGTGCGAGGACGAGGTATATACATATTTCAATATTATTTGTCATTACAATTTCAATGACCTTTTTGTAAAAATCCGCATATTAAATCATGAAATATCTACCACAGGGCACACCTAGCAGCTCGTCTACTCCGGCGACAGCTCCGCGCGCCTACTTAAAGCTGAATTCCTTGGTGGAACTCGATACATTCACTCTCACACACGGACCATTCACACCACTTGATACACCCGGTGAGTGAAATATTATTTTATCCTATTTAATTTTACTTTAAAACTAGCTGTTGCCCGCGACTTCGTCCGCGTAGAATAATGACTTCTGACAGAATTCATCAGAATCAATTCAGTGCCCAAGTAGTGATTACTATTGTTATTGTGATATAGAAATATTGTGAAATGATGTATCGTGTTTTCTAAAAAGAAATCTCGCAGGGATCTTACCATTGCAGTGCCCGTTCCCGTAAGGTTTGAGTGGTAAAAACTATTCTATCGACTATTGTTGTACCGAATCAAAAAATAATTCAAAAAGATTCAATGATTCTAAATTTAATGTCTAAGATGATTTATACACTCTCATTCCCTATTTTATCCCCTTAGGGGTGGAATTTATCAAAATCCTTTCTTAGGAGATACCTAATCATAATAACTTTAAGCATTCAGTCTTCAGCCCAATCAGTTTAAAACTGACAAGGTATCATACAAATTTTCACCCACTAAACTGACAAGGTATCATACAAATTTTCACCCACTATTTTATAAGGTAGTGAGTTGAGTCAGCGGGCTCCTACCGGGTCACCCGAACAAGTCACATCATCCTCA